TGCAGCGCCCCTTGCGTTAAACTGCGGCGAATGTAGTTCAGAAGATTCGTTTTAACAGCGGAGTTGTTAAAGCTGCTTCTTACGCTGCGTGGTGTGCAGAGAAACTCGACTCGGTCTTCTTTTGCCACGTTGAGCCTCGTTCAAACAGATGAGCCTACTTAGATATAGCCAAGCCTAGATGAGCGTAATATTCCCAATAAAAGGGGAACTCCGGTGCATTTTCGACCATACTAAGATGATGCTGTTTTCAAGTACTATTGAGAGTCCTACAATAGCTGGGCTGGTACATTATGCCCAGCACGCGTGAATAATGTTAATTAAGGAATGAACGACCAGTCAAAATAAACCAAAACAGGAGCTGCTCCGTCCTCCATGGTGGGCATCGGATGAGGTTACGAAAATCGGTCTCCGATGACGCCACGAGATCCGCTACACCCCACCACGGCTGAGCCACGGTTTAAACGTAGCTCGTGTGTCTCTTCTGACACGCGAAAAGCAAATTGGCGATGTATTCCGACGCGGAATCAAGCTGTATCAGCTCGTCCGAACTTACCGAGTGACAAGTTCAGCGATAATCGCGGCTAGTATCTGATCAAGGAAACATCGCATCGCTTTTAGGGGCGAAGCTCCTTATGACGTGGCTTGTGCGTCCCCCGTTGTGCGTAACTGCCGGTGGCACATACCCAGGAGAGCGGGTATGTGCCGCAGGGAATAGACGGGCGTGTGCCACAGGAGAAGGAGAGAGACGCGATGAAACGATGCGAGGTGGCGGTACTGCGAGTGTTCACTAGATGGACAGACGTACGGACGCACGGATGTACAGACAGACAAGCAGACGAACGGAAGCGCGGGCGGACTGACGGACGCTTCGCCCCCCCCCCCCCCCGCTCCTCCCCTCTCATCATTCACTCCGTGGATATGCTGAAATTTTTTTTAGGCACTTGAAGCATCTTATGAGCCCCGAAGAGATCTCGCTGCTCAATTTTGTAAGACCCGACGTCAACGACGACTAACAAGCTGTATGCAACTGACATAACTGTGCTCGCGTTGTCGTCGCCTCGTAGAAGAAAGCGCGCGCTGCATCCGTCAGCTGGAAAAGGCGGGGTTTTTGAAAAAGTTTAGGTATACTTACGTCACATACACAGAGAGGCCCGCGTTTACTACTGCGATTCCAAAATCGGCTACCAATTTTAAAATTTGTTTTCTAAGAAACTACCTGACTTATGGTTGTAGAATTTGGCACATATCACCACGGTAGCGATAAGAACACATATGTGTTAAAGTTTTATTTAAATCAGTGAATATAAAAAAATTCCGGAGTTACCCTTTAAGGCATCTTGATTTTGTTGATTGATATGTGAAGTTTAACGTCCCAAAACCACCATATTATTAAGAGAGACGTCATAGTGAAAGACTCCAGAAATTTTGACCACCTGGGGTTCTTAAACGTGCACCCAAATCTGAGCACACGGGCCTACAGCATTTTCCCCTCCATCGAAAATGCAGCAGCCGCAGCCGGGATTCGATCCCGCGACCTGCGGGTCAGCAACCGAGACCTTAGCCACTAGACCACCGCGGCAGGGCAATGAGCATAACTGGAGCGAAGTTCACAAAAAGGCGTTAAGTCGACGTTGATTGCTGAAATAGCGGTAAAGAAACGTCATAGTGCTACTTCTGTGCCAAGTGCGTGCTTATTTTGAAATAAAATCGCGTTTTAATGGTACGCATCGCGTTAGAGCACTTCAAATCACCCGCTGAATTCGGTATTTCTGATGTTACTGTTGCCGCACCTAACGTCGCCCGCCTTTAATGCGTGGCCGCCGACCCTATAGTAGCAACAGAACGAAAGTAGCGGGAGCCACAGCAGCAGCAACGGCCACTAAACTTTTTTTTTCCCCACAGCCGAGCTTGACTGCACCTGCGTGCGCTTCTTTCCTTGTGGCCTTATCCACCGTTGCGAAAGCAATGGGACGTTACTGAAACATCTGATCTAAAAGCGACCGCTCGTGAGTGCACCCCTCCAGGCCGGCCATCTAGCCCTCCAGTCTAGCCCACGGCCGGGCTAGACTGCACGCGCGCACTCTAGCCCAGCCGTGCTTTTCCTTACTTGGTTCAACCGGGTCCCGCTAGATCGCACCACCTGTCCACCTAACCAGGCGAAAATGGAACCCTTGAACCACTCCCGCCATTCCCCATAGTAACAGCAGACAAGTCTTTACGGCGAAAGCTGTTACGAGATTGCAACTCGGGTCACGCCGTTGTCCGCCGCCGGCAGTGTCCGTAGCCACATCTCACGAAATTAGATTAAAAAAAAACCTAATACTAATGACACAGTGGGGCTCAAGCCCGGGTCCACTGGGTGCCAGCCCGGTATTCTACCACTGAGCCACGCCGGTGCTTGGGACCTGTTGGCAAACTTGCCTTAGGCAGTTGATGTCTGCAAAGCAATCACGTTAATACAACTTTTAAAACATTTTACTACAGCAAAACAACAACCAGTCATCGCACAATGCAAATAGCGTAACGAGCGGGTCATCCAATGCCCCAACCTATTACAAAAGCTTGTTCTTGTTCACCTACTAACTGTGGCGGATACCCACTTCAGCCATAATTCCCCATCGTCGACAGCCACTGCATGAACCATCTGCACAAAATTCCTTGCAACTGTTTAGCGGATACCATGCTTCTCAGAAGAATGACAAAAAACAGCCCGGCGAATGCTGGCCTACTACCCAATAAAGAAAGTGTGCTTGCAGCAGTTACCCAAAGTGTTTAGAAAAGGCTCTGAAAGGCCGCTCTTCTAGCTTTCGCTGCGACTGTGCTGCTCCTTTCGCACAGGTCTGGTTTTTTTTTTTATATATAAATCAAACAGAAACGGACAAGCAGCGTTTTATTACGTCACTTAATGCATGGAAGGGTCATTTCATTGCAGATAGTTTGATAACTAACAATTACTTGTAGTCTAAAGCTCTTAGCAATCAGGATCATATAAAAAATGTCCCACTAGTGACACCCCGTGTGATACATTTGGCTTAATTTCTCTGTAAGTACGACACTGCTGTTGATAATATTGCTGTTTTAGACGTCATACATTGAGCTTTCACTCTGACATAAATTGTCATTTGCGTTTCCTGTCCCTTTACGTTTAAGATTATCCTTGCATTTGATATGCTAGACCAAGTTAAGCTTATAGCCCATTGGGCCAGTGTAAGTATAACTAAATCTACGAGGCATAGTTAAGCATGATAATCCCTAATACATCCGAGTATAATACTCAAGCCAAAACTAATTAAGCTTGCTTAATCTAAGAAAATCTCAATTAAGTTAGTGAGGCCAAGCTCACAATTTAAAACTACAGCTGACTGGCTTGTGTATGACTGAGCCAAGCAGAAACCTTGAGAGACACATGACCCAATTTCCAATTATGCTAAATCCATTGAGCCTAACATTGGTTCGTGATCGCATGAGAGAATCAATTCTAATCCTAGCTAGGATACCACCAGCTCGACTTGATTCAGCCTTGCGACACTTAGTGCAAGGTGCCCACATTTTATTGCTGCATGACACGGATAGTTGTTTGCATGACACAATATACTTGTCGGTTTCATTAGTAAGCAAATATTTCCTGCCGTATATAAGGATATAAGAACTACCAAATACCAAGTATATAGGAACTGCCAATCTGTGTGTCTGTCCTGTCCAATTCACTGCTATTGTGGATTTTCTGCCTCTTTAAGGTGAACTATTCACCATCTATACGCTCATGCATGAACGTACATGAAGGTTCAATATACAAGATCCACGAGAGTAAAATTTCCCCATAAACAAAAAATTGTGGAGATACAATACACTCGGAATCTAAGCTATGCCAAGCATTCTTCAGGGAGCTGAAAATCCAGTTTTGCTTGAGGTTAGAGGACCAACATGCTCATGCAAGGCAGAAAATTTGTGTGTAATACAAGCATAACTGCCCACAGCAGCAACCACAATGAAGACAATGGTCATTATTGATAGAGTACTCATGTCTAGTTTATCTGTCACTTGTACATCCTGTCCTAGGACTAGGCATTTCTACTCTTGGAGCTAGTTGGAACTGGTACACAAGGAGTATTTATCCAATTGTGACTTTACGGTTAGCCACTTTGCTGGAATGCTATGCAATTCTTTTAATATAGATACCCAATATAAGAACCTGCCCATCAGACACAAAGGGCAAGGAATGCTTTGCACTTATAATTCTGCAAATGCTGATGTGTGTTTACCAAGAGCTGATCACTGAGCAACTCTGCATGACTGTGTTTCTTCTCAATTTGAAGTTTACTTTTGTTACTCATAGCCCCCCCCCCCCCCCCGACTCACAATGCAAGGATGTTTGCATGTAGTCCTCTTAAAATAAATAGTTATACAGTAAGTAAAAAAAGATAATTACAATCAGTTTTATCTTTACTTTGCCAATCCTGCAAAGCTTGTTTAAGGCAAGCAAAGTTTGCAGGGATGTAGCCCGAAATATTTTTGGGAAGAGGGGGCAGGGGTTGTAACGCTGCCAACATGACATGAACTGAAACTCAGCGCTTGGTTACACACCTGACAGTTTGCCCTGTCTACCATCTGGCTCCAATAGCTATAAAGCCTGTCTGTTGATACTATGCCTTATTAGGTCGGTGCACTATGTATAGAATGTTAGTGTTGTTTAACAGGACCTCTTAAGGGTGCCCAGTCAAACACCATGGCCAATTTCTATTATAATTTACCAAAAACGGTTTCAAATCTATTCATAATTGTACAGCATTAAGACAATCACCGAAAGTAAAAAAACAGGCCAATTCACAAGGCTTTTGCATTAAACTAAAAAACAAAAACTTTGGCTTTTATTTTTTTTAATCTTGTCCTTGAAAAACACATCTGCTTTTTTTCCCTTTCCTGGAATACACTATACTGACTTGCTGCTACTTTTTGTCCCCCTTGAAGCAGAAAATGATAGAAACATTAAAAGCACTCACTTCCTTCCACGATTTCCCCTGCGTTGATCGTATCCGTGTTTATGTCACTCCAGAATACTGTTGTGTTAGGGCCATTCAAAAGGAAATCCACAGCCACAGCAAGAGTGTTGCTACTGTACAAGAAGTGGCTCTCGCCCTTCGATTCCACAAATGATTGCTGAATACCAGCACTGGTGGTTATCAAAAGATATGACACTAATGGATCTAGAGAAAAAATAGAAGAAAGAAAAAGTCAACAAATGGGCACTAGTGTCAATGTTTGAATATAGAAAATCATAATTGCATTAAAACAAATTACAAAAGCAAAAAAGAGAGTCAAGGGCAGCACTTTTGAGTCTATCTGCATTGTAGTTATACGAATGTCTTTCTTACCTCTAAAATATGATAGGAAGGGGAGTTAGAAACTTGTGATGAAAAATCAAGCAACTAATTTAGGCAAAATAAAATTTTTAAAAAGTCATTTTGTAGACCATAATGACAAAAAGTTGACACATTAAATACCTTCAGAGTAGAAACATTGAAAACTACAACAACAAGATGCCACATCTCTGTAGCATAGCAGCGTTTAAGTCTGACAAACAAAATTTCTCAACCTTGAGACATTAGGAAAAGATTAATTTCAGCAGTGAATGCTTTCAATTTAAAGCTTCAATACTCAACTACTAACATTGAATGAAAGCTATTTTATTTAATGTCAACAAGTGTGAGGTCGAATGACAACTGAAGAGGGTTTTGAACACCTCTTGACTGGATCTTGAAAAAGATCAGTAACTTATATTACTGAATATTAACAGAAGCTCACACATAACCATGCAAGTTCATTTTTTAACTAATATCTCATTTAGATCTCAACCTCATCAAATAAGCTTTACTTAATTCCAATGAATGTCCAGACTGTTTGCCACTTCAAGCTGCTCGAATGTAAACCTGTTGCTCGATATTGCAATGCTTTTGACCTGGTTTACAAAAAAAAAAATTGTACACACACACACACACACACACAAACACACACACACACACACACACACACACACCCAATACAACACACACACATATACACACACACACACACACACAAATGTCTTAGTAAAATTGCCAAGAATTTCTTTGGTGTTAGAAATAGGAAAAATATCAGAAAACAATTTACTTTCAAACATTAATATGACCACTTATATTATTGACATGGTGACATTACAAGTGTTAATGCTCAGTGGCTCCACTTACAATGACTTCAGCATGTCTATATAAATAAATATACCATGAAAAAAATAATATCCCCTTTGATTACGTGCAGAATACTTCTCCAGTGAAACACAATATGCCCGTCATCCAAAGGAGAAGACAGAATAGCATCAGATTTGCAGTCAAAAGTAATATACTCTAGGTTTCTTGTTACATCTGAATACGGTAATCTTTAAAGCAATCAAAGTATGCTCTGGCTTCAATCAACATGACATTAACTAAATAATGAAACAAAACTGAAAAATTGCGATGTCAGAAGTTTAACATGCACAGAAAATGCATAATATGCATACAACTTTTCCAGTTTTTGGTGTGGGTGTGTGCCCTATCATTAACAGATTTCAAAAATGCCTATATGAGCAACAGATATAATTTTTCAGCCTACTACACTTACTACCAAGGAATTCTCAGCACTAGACAAAATTCATGCCTATATGAGCAACGGATATGATTTTTCAGCCTGCTACACTTACTACCAAGGAATTTTCAGCACTAGACAAAATTTTTAACAACCTTTAGTCAAGAGAAGTGGCTTGCTAAATGCTGCGATTATTTTCACCAATAGTATGCAAGAAGGCGACGTTCTTGCCGACTTGAAGACATAAAGTTTGTAAAATATATAAAAATCGCTACCAACCAGCATAGTACAACTATTCATTACCCTTCACAGCCAGCAAGGTCTGCTTAACATTCTTGACAATGGTAGGAAAGTTAATATTTGTTTATATACTCAGCAAAAGCCTCTGACCACATGCTTTTTGAGCTATTAACAAAAGTAACTCGCTCTAAACATAAGCTTATTCTGTGGTGACTCAATTCATACAAAGTGCCATGACATTAGCATTTAAAATACACAACTCAGCAGCGTCACGAGTTTCTCAGAGGTCTGTCCTTGTTTTATTCATTGCTGGCTTTAGAGAATCTGCTAATTCTTTTGCTTTTTGTAACCTGTATTAGTTTACTGCAAGACGTGCTAAATAAATGCACCGTTTTACATAATACTGCATTTTATTTTGAATAAATTTTCGTTAGGAAGACAAAATGAAGACCGATTGTGAAAAAAAAAAAAAGCCGCGAGCTTGGAAAGAAAAGCATGAGTGCACAATTTATGCCAAGTGCTAATGATCACAAGGCTGGCTGCAATTACCCAGTCGTGGAACACAGTACACTGACAGGTTGTTGGGCAGCAAGCTTAGCAAGTTCAGCTCCCATCCACTGAGCCCTTAAAACATTTTACATTTACCTCAGAACAGGGTAACACTATAACCTTTGTATGCTAACCCAGCTGAATCTAGGTGCTCATGAGCTCAGACTTACAAGAGATCAAGCAAGAATCAAGCAAATGACATCCACATGGAAGAAATATCACACTGAACACAGTTATACGAATGAAACCCGCTTGAAAAATTGGGCATTAGATTTGAAAGGGACACTAAAGGCAAATAATTTAGGTTACAGTAACAGACAAGCTTGAGAATGTCTAAAATGTCATCAAAAACAGTGCTCTGGTAGCAGAAATTAATGAAAATGTAAAACGTGATATCTTTAATTCAAGTGGGACATCCAATATTAGCAACATTACAGCATAATTTCGTCCCTTGTACCGATTCACTTCCAACAGAGATCACTACAGTACATTCCAAGATGGGACAAAATGACAGCTATTGATTGATATGTGGGGTTTAACGTCGATTCAATTATGCAGAGTGAATATGGTCACTGCTACTTCAAGAAAAGTAGCACTTCCCACTACCCCACTCGGCAAACAATGATAAAGTGCACATTGGCATTGGCCACACCTGTCTAATCCTTTGACAGACTGAGGATTAGAATGTGGATTTGCCAAGTTGGGGACTGAGATTTGGGAGATTCCTAAACTGAGGAGTAGAGGCGTCGAAAAAAATAAAGTGTCGCACAGTTGTTTGATTTCATAAGGCTGCAGATATACAGTGCTTCAAATGATTGCCAGTAACCTTTTTTCGAAGTCAGCGATCATATTAGTACTCACAATTATGTGGCATATACACGCATGAGTAACTGAACAAACTGTGCTGTGTCCCGTGACTAGGGCTAACAGCCCCTTCGAAATCTCAAAACGCTTTTTCGCAAGCCATTGGGGTACGGCGGAAAAGGTGGCTTAGGTGGCGTTCTGATTGATATGTGTGGTTTAACGTCCCAAAACCACCATATGATTAAGAGAGACGCCGTAGTGGAGGGCTGCAGAAATTTCGACCACGTGGGGTTCTTTAACGTGTACCCAAATCTGAGCACACGGGCCTACAGCATTTCCGCCTCTATCGAAAATGCAGCCGCCGCAGCCGGGATTCGATCCGGCAGCCTGCGGTTCAGCAGCCGAGTACCTCAGCCACTAGACCACCGCGGCGGGGCAAGTGGCGTTCTGCAACAAGGCCAAAAATTAACGAACCGCTAGACAACACCCCCCCCCCCCCCTCTTCTTTCGCGATGGGGTTAGGTTTAGGGCACGACTTCTCGGCTCGCTTGCAAGGCGCATTTGACCAGATAACGTAACGAGAGCACGCGCCCGTTGGCCCCGCACCCGGCGACGACACCGAACACCTCGCATGTGCCGTTGCTATGGCAACTACGTGGTCGCCGGCAACGCCGGCATTCGCAGCACATCGAGTTTGTTGTTGGCGCGAAGTACGCTTTCAGCTTTAGTTCCGAACATGTCATGGCCGTGTCTGCTGGCTTGGGAAGTCATTTCCCGCAAAGTGCTGCTGGCTAGGAAACGCATTTTTGTCTAGAAGTTGCGGTGTCCCGCCGACCGATAGCCGCTGCAGTCAGTGGACCGATGGGCACGCAGCGCTGGTACTGCATCTGAACGATCGCGTGTGTACTAACTGTGGTTTAGGGTATGAGCACCTGGATCTATGGATGGATTTATAACGCGAACTACAGGTGGCCTCGGTGAAAAAATAGCGTAATTGAGAATTGTGACGATGGTGGGGCCTTTTGGCGCATGATGACGTAATTTCAGCAAATTTCGTGACTTTGGCACAGCTAGATTCAAAAAATGGTGAATTGTATCAATTTGGAGCGATTGGCGCAGCTGTCGCACCCCTATGCTCACGGTTATGACGCACATGTGAGAAGACTTCTTCGCCCTCTGCCATCCCTCCCTACTTTTAGATTCCAGTGTGTTCATCACATTAAATGGGAAAAAAATGGCCCCGAATCATGTTTCACTGCAAATATCGAAAGACGATAGTCTTCTGTCTGGAGAGAGTGAATACAACGTTTAATTGATGTTCCGCGCAAGAAAATCGGTGAATAGGATTCTGGAGGCGCTGCGTCAGAGTAACTGTATATATGCTAACTTCCCGTAGGGAGCACATACAGTTACTCTGCTACGTGAGACATGAGCGCTATCTGGTAGTTGTATTGAAAAACCAAAGGATGGCCTCTTATATAGCAAGCGCGCGACGTGCGCGAGCAATTTTGGAGGCCATAATGTGTAGAATGTAAGGCGACGGGAACGTGCCACCACCGTATCGTTAGCAAAGCGTGGGAAACAACCGGCTTTTCGTGCATAGCGTTGCATTGTCAGTGCAGCGTATTAAACGCTACGGTCCTTGGAATTATTTATGCATGCTTTTTATAGTATAAAATGTTCTGCCTCAGATATGCGCAACATTTGCTATTTCATCGATATTACGCACAAGCATGAATGCAGAAAGCAGAGCAATATTGGTTGGCGCTGCGGACATGGTTAGATTTTAGCAGTTTCGGATGACAAACAAGGAGACCGACCGAGAGACAGGCCAAAATGTTTGCGTCAAAGTATCACAAGAAAGACTATCGTTTTTACAAAGTAATTAAAGAGCGCTACAAATCACTGCGACTTATCTCTCTCTCTCTCTCTCTCTCTGTCTGCGCGCGCGCGCGCGCGCGCGCGCGTGCGTGCGTGTGCGTGCGTGTGTTTTGCGCAGCGGTTGATTAGTGAGACAACAAACTACATTCATCAAGCCATTCGATGGCTACTCTAAAAAGTGTGGCAGGTTGCCTTTAAAAGGACCCTGCAACTTTTTTCCAAGTAGCCATGGATGGATTCACTATAGGATCGAGCTTATTGCCCCACGAATCCACTCACACCGCAAAAAATTTTACAGTTCGTACAATATTAACGGAGTTATATTTGTAGGACGCTACAATCGTGTTCTCTTTTCTCTCGTTCCTACGAAATCGCAGGAAGCTAAGCAGGGAGGGATGCCTTGGGGGAAAGAAAATACACCACGCATGTCTCGTGACCTTGACAACATCTTTTAGGAGGTGTTGACCTTGAACATTTCACTTTTTTTTTTCAAATGCTTTTCAGTGCGAGCTTGCGAGTGCGTGGACAAGTCGCTGCCTCCCGCGGCTGCCCGAGTAATGCTCAAAGCAGCCAATGGCTGATGCGATGAATGTGACGAGTGTGTTTTTTCTAGCTTTTATTGTCATTTGTCGAGAGATGAAAGAAGCCATTTTTAGCTTACTTTGAGAATTAATTGTGGATTACAGGCCACATGCTGCCCTATATTATTTGGCTGGCATTTTTCTCTGGAGCATAGACTATCGATCGGTAGCGTTTTCTGACCATGCTCAAAAAGTGTTACAGGGCCCCTTTAATAAAATAATTCTCCATTCCCTGACTACTATTAGTTTCGAAGAGCATGGTACGAGAGAGAATCATATCATAATCGCCCGACTACACCCACTGCACGATATTGATTGATAACCGATATGTAGGGTTTAACGTCCCAAAATCACTATATGATTATGAGAGACACCGTAGTGGAGGGCTCCGGAGATTTCGACCACCTGGGGTTCTTTAATGTGCACCCAATTCTGAGCACACAGGCCTACAGCATTTTCGCCTCTATCGAAAATGCAGCTGCCGCGGCCGGGGTTCGATCCCGCGACCTGCGGGTCAGCAGCTGAGTACCTCATAGCCACTAGACCGCCGCGGCGGAGCTATACCCACTGCACGGCCAAGGCCTCTCCCATGTTCCGCCAATCAACCCCGTCCTGTGCTCTCTGTTGCCACGTTGTATCGGCGAACGTTTTAATCTCATCGGCCCACCTAACTTTCTGTCTACCCTTCACGCGTTTGCTTTCTCTGGGAATCCAGTCATTTCCCCTTAATGAACAGCGGTTAACCTGTGTGCGAGCTACGTGCCCGACCCATGTCTATTTTTAAAGACGATAGTCTTTCTTGGGGACCTTCGGCGCAAAAATTTTGGTCTGTGTCTGTTTCTATCTCTCTCTGTCTGTCCACTCTTAACAGCATCGGGTACTTGAAACGGCCGACCCCTTCCGCAGCGCCCACCTATGTTGCTCAAAGTTGAGCTTTCATGCTTGTGCAATTGTCAATTAAAAAGCAATTATCGCGCATGTCTGTTCGCCCTAACAACACGTATATATTCTGCATGTGCGTCTCTTACTAGAACAGACATACATAAGTAATTTTAAGGACCGTAGCGCTTATCACGCTGCGCTGACCATGCAACGCTTGCACGGAAAGGCGAGTGTTTCCAACGCTTTGCTAAAACGAAACGGTGGTGGCATCTACCTTTCGCCTTGCGTTCTACAGATTATCACCTCTGGGATGGGCGCGCACACCCGTCTCAGGGCCACACGTTTTGTTTTCTAAGACAACTGCCAGATGGCGCTTCTGTCTCACGTCTGACGTGACTTGATGCGCGCGTTCACCTCCGCTGCACGCTCGAGGCACTCTAACGCAGCGCCACCAGAATATCATTCACCTATTTTCTTGCGCAGAACATCAAATAAATGTCTTGCTCACTCTCTCCACACGCAAGACTATCGTCTTTCGACGACATTTGCAGATTACATGCAGATACGGGGCCGATTTTTTTTTCTTGATTTCAACTATGATATCCTTAACCCCCGTTTGTTCCCATGACCCACTCTGCTTCCTTCCCGTCTGTTAAGGTTACACCTATCAATTTCCTTTTTATTTCTTGCTGCATCGTCTTCAATTTAAGCATAACCCTCTTTGGAAGCCTCCAGGTTTCTGCTCCGTAGGCAAGTATAGTAAGATGAGGCTGCTTTACACCTTACTCTGGAGGGTTAGTGATCGACTACCATTCATAATTTGAGAATGCTTGCCAAACATGCTCTACCTCATTCTTATTCTATCATACTACCTGTCCTAAGTCAATTTCCCAGCTTGCATTGTCTCGCCAGCTATCACAAAGCGCGGTTCTCTGTCTCTCAAGACTGTAGCACATTGTTTTATTCACATCAATGTTCAGACGAACTTTTTCACTTTCAGTGCACAGTTCAGTAATCATAAGCTGTAATTCGCCCCCTCTAGTTTTTCCTCAACCTAATATCAGCAAATCACAGGTTGCTGAGATCATTATCCGTTAACTACTATCCCTAGCTCTTTCCAATGTTGAGCGCTAAAGACCTCTTGCAAACACACGGTGAGTAAGCATTGGAGAGCATCTCCCTGCCTTACACCCTTCTCTATTGGGTTGATTTGTGGGGTTTAGCGTCCCAAAACCACTATATGATTATGAGAGACGCCGTAGTGGAGGGCTCCGGAAATTTTGACCACCTGGGGTTCTTTAACGTGCACCCAAATCTGAGCACACGGGCCTACAACATTTCCGCCTCCATCGGAAATGCAGCCAGCGCAGCAGGTCGCGGGTCAGCAGCCGAGTACCTTAGCCACTAGACCACCGCGGCGGGGCCCTTCTCTATTGGGATTCGGTTACTTTATTGATGACTATGGTGGCTGTAGATCCACTGCATATTTCTTTCAGTATGTGTATACAGACTTGTTTTTTGTTCCACCCATGTTCCAACTAGGCCGAATCGCAGTTTTGCTACAGATTGTCTATGACACGATTGCGCAGGGCCTTGATTACTGCTGATATTTCGACTTTTCGTAATCTATGAAGGTTATGGTTACAACCCGAGAGAATCGTGAGATGTCGAAAACAAAGTGTTCTTCCATAACTTCCCACTCAATGGCAAAAGCCAACAATGATGAATAAAACCAATAGCTCACAGAAATAGTTCAAGTGCTACACATCCAACTAACAATACTTATGTTACGAGTGCCTTACCAACTGGAAGACAGGAGAAGTTATTGGAGTCGAGGCGAAAGCCTTCAACACAACCACATTCAACAAGAGACCGATCTTTCCAATTCTGGATGCATGTTTGAGCGCAGCGTCCCCATTCATGACACGGAGATTCACCTGCAAAAAAGAGGCGAAATAAGGATATAAACATCGAAGCCTTGATGGAAGTAACGGTTTTATCGAATCATCAGTGTATAAAGCTGCATGCACAGAACATTGCCAAGATGAATTTAAATGGAACATCTATGCATGTATACTGAGGCAACACCGCCCGTGCGGCCGATGATTATTTGCTCATGTTCCCTTTTTAACAGGTGGGTGTACTTGCACTGTAGTGACACCCTCCCGTGTGCGTTTGTGGAACTAGCCAACACCTCCTGAAAATTCTTCAGGCCTGCGCCCTCCGCCGTGATGTCACCACCAGCCGTCCTACCAGTCCAATACTTCCTGAGCGGTTCCGTCACGCATTCCCGAATTTCCACTCGCTGCAGTGGTGACAGCCGTGCTGCACGTGTTTTTTCGCGAGTCTGCCGAGCCATTTTCTTTGCGTTGTGTGCAGTGAATTTTACTGCCGGAATTTTATTGCGCGAAGCTTCTGACATGCCCAATAAGTGCTGTGTGCCGGCATGTTCAAGTAATTACAAGACCGGGAAGAAAGTTCAAGTATTTTCATTCCCCAAGGATGAAGTGCTAAGGAAGAAGTGGCTCGGTGCTATTCCAAGAAAGGATTTCTTTCCTACGGAAAACAACAAGGTAAGAGCAAACTGGATGTCACCATTGCATCACACTGATGGTGGAATTATACTCATTGTAACAGTTCGCGAAGCGCTCGTGCAATTTTTAGACGCATTCCGAGGTTCACTGACACTCTGCGACTGCTGTTGGTATGCAGGTATGCGCATCGCATTTCACCGAGTCATGCCTTCAGAACAAGTCGTCCTACACGGATCCTACGACAGGAAGAGTGCTAGAGGTCTTACTGAAAGTACCACGCCTGCGTTCAGGATCAGTGCCCACACTGTTCCCAGGATGTCCTTCGTACTTGTTGAAGGATGACCCTTCTCCGAGAGATTGCCCGGAAACGAAAAAAAATGCGCCGAGAAGCGGCTGACCTCGCTCGTGCCATCGCAGAATCGGAGGCTTCTTATCGTGATGAAGAAACGAAATGCTGTTTTTCCTCGCTTCTTGAGCTTATGGAATGTGAAAAGTGCACCTGTGCCAAATGAGTGGATTGTAATTCACCGCACAAACTGGGCCCTGTTTTTAAATATTGTTGATGAGAGCATGCCGATGTTGCGGTCGTCTGTTACTGTTTTCAGCGACCTGAGTATCAGTGTATGTTTTCATGGTACCAAATTAAGCCGCATAGGTGATTATGTCGTGCCAGGAAGCATTGAGAATGTGAATGTCCTGTCTGCCATTCTGAGTAGCCTTCAAAGCACTGTCCTCGATGAAAAATGCTCCTCAGAAGGTCTTTGTGACGTAATCGTTAGCCTTCTTGAGCAACTTGAACGAGATGCCATTGACAGCAAGAAACGTATCAGTCGGTTCTTGCGAGAACAAGTGGCGTTGCTTGGAAAACAACGATTCCAGTATTCCTCCGAAAGTATGGTGGTTGCTTGCATATTGCATACCATATATCTCCACACGCCTACAAATTTCTGAGGGGTTCAGGTTTTTCTGCCAAGCCACATCCCAGTACTTGTCGAAATGTCTGCTCCTCGTTTCACTTGTCACCTGACACTGAGTCAGCCAGTGAAAATTTTCTCGGGTACATAAAGCACAGATTTAAGCAATTGCAGCCGCATGGAAGTGCCGTGGTTCTCATGCTCGACGAAATTCACATCCAGTCTTTCTTCGATTTTAAAGGTGGAAAAATTTCAGGGGCAGCAGGAAACAGTGAAGAGGTCGCTACTTCTGCTCATGTGTTTATGGTGCAAAGCATGCCGAGTTCTTTTCGCGAGGTGGTGCACATTCTGCCTGCACGAACAATGAATGCTCACTCTCTTCATGCTGTCTTGAAAAATGAAATCATGGGCCTTGAGGAAATAGGTTTTAAAGTTCTTGCAGTAGTTTCAGACAACAACGCAATCAATCGCAAGGCACTCAGTATGTTTTCAGATCCGCCAAAGCTGAGCATCGTTTACCCAAATCCAAAAGACGCAACAAGACCTATGTTTTATGTTGTGGATTCTGTGCACTTGTTGAAATGCATCCGAAACAACTGGATAAATCAAAAGAATCTTGGGACAAACCTATATTTTCCAATGTTTGATCTCTCAAACAACAGTGTCCATCCCGACTGCATACAGCGGGCATCATTGAAAGATATTCGGGAGCTGCACAAGCTAGAGGCTTCTCAGCTTTTGAAATACAGCTATCGCCTTTCGTCAAAGGCGCTAAATCCTAGCAACTTCGAAAAACAGAATGTTAAGCTAGTACTACAAATATTCAATGCTTTTGTAGCTGAGGCACTGGATCACCACTGTAACTTTCATGCTTTATGGCATGCCAAAGAAACTGCCAATTTTATCAGGATAGTTCTCCGCTGGTGGAAGATTGTAAACGTTAAAACACCTCACAAAGGCCATCACCACAGATATGTTTATGAAGAGCCAGTTTCGTGCCTGAATGGTAACCCTAAGCTGGAATTTCTCGATGCATTTGTGGCTTGGTTGGATGTGTGGGAATCCTACAAACACGACAACGGCATTCTCAGGCGAGAAACTCAATCTGCTCTGAAGCATTCCGCCTATGCAATACTTGAATTCACCAAGTACTGCCTTGTCGAGCTTCGTTATAAATATGTCCTGCTCGGCAAGCTGCAGACAGACGGCCTCGAAAACCGATTTGGCCAGTACAGGCAAATGGCTGGTGGTCATTACCACATCAGCATTAGGCAGCTGTACGAGAGTGAAGGCAGGATTCGCCTACAAAATACTCTTCCTATAATGAGCAGTGACGATTTCATTGATGAGGCTCTTCCATCGGCAACAGCCACAAATCAACAGGACTTCAGAGTTACTGTCAAACCTGAAGACCTTGACAGCTTAAGCACACGCGTCGCTGTTTTTGCTCATGTTGGAGGCTTTTGCGCTAACTCTGTGGTAAAAACGTTGAAGTGCAACTACTGTCAAGAGAACCTTCTTGCTGACAGTTGCGATGCTGAGTGCGATGGTGATGCTAATTCTTTAATAGCAAGTCTCAATCGAGGTGGCTTGAAATTTCCGAACGCGTGTGTTGTGACAGTAGTGATGCACACTGAAGTTGTTGAAAAGTTGCTGCAGAATGAAAAAAATGCCGCGTGCTTTCTGCAGGCAACAAATCACAGATGTATTGTTCAACAGCTTGTGAAGGAGAGCTTGCCAGCATTTGAGGAACTGGTGACTTGTGCGAATGAGCACGAACCAGATTTGGTGATAAATATGTTGATAAAATGTGCAACAAATGTTCTGCTAAATAATTATTGCACAGAAAGGAATGACGCAGCAGCTGTTGTTAAAGCCGATGCCAAAGCTGTTGCAAAAGCACGGAAATTGAAAACCGTTGCTCCAAAATAAAGTGCTCATGTATCACTTGTAATTTTCATTAGTATGTTCATTTATTTGTTTTTGATCATTGCTTCGTGCCCCTGTTTCGTGTGTACATGTTGAATAAACTAACTCTTACTACAGGAAGTTCCCAGGTTTGAGAAGTTCCTTATAATTAACAAGACCCTTTGAAGACATTCAGACGCGAGAGAAAACAATATTGCTGAGATACAATTAACTGGTTCACTGCGGGAGGAGTGCCAGAAGCGGCGCGCTCCCGCAGGACCGGTCGGACGGCGAGTGATGACGTAGCTGACGACATGTCACGTGAGGCGCAGGCCTGAAGAATTTCAGGAGGTGTTGAACTAGCGCGCAAGCGCAGTGACAGCTGTAGGCGGGGCTTTGCCGCGCCGTCTGCCAAAGCGCGACGTCTCCGCCGAACCGGGCTTGCTTTGCGAGTAAGCTAACTTCATTTTCCATGTGCGCACGCAAATTAAAAATCAAGCACGATTTTCGATAAGCACATCCAGGACGCCTTGTGCTATCCAGCTTCTGCTCCACATGTTTTCTTTCTTTTTCTTTCTGCACGGGATCACACACGTAATAAAACTTGGCACTTGCGTGGGTAAGCAATCTCGAAGATCCGCTGGCGTTCGCATCCTAATCTACTTAGCCGTTTCGTGCTAAACAGAAGGCGACTGACACAATAGTTAGGAGCGAAGCTCCTTAGGGCCACAAGATGTCCAAGCGGCTTCCATTCGTCCGGGTGCGGTGCACATTCGAAGCACAGGTGCAAAACAACTGTGCGCAAAACCGTCAACAGAGCGCACACGTGGTTTAAAATTAGTCCTTCCATCTGCCTGTACTTCTGTCCGTCCTTCATGGTAAACAGCCGGCTACTTCAACGTATACGTTATAAACATTAGACTAAGCTTCGTTCCGTTATCAGCATCTATTTCGTAGCTATGCTTGGATTTTTTTTTTTTTTGTCAACTTATAGCTTGCGCAGTAAAGATAAGTCTGAATATGCTGCGCTATGAAGCCACAAAGGAAGCTTTCCTAGTCCCGCTAAATGTTGAGTCAAGAAAGATAAAAGCGATGCGGGGGCCTTGCGCCGCATAGCCACGAAGGGAATTCACTCGGCGCCTGCTGACGCACGATTTGACAGCGGTGGTTCTTTGGTCTACTGATTTCTTTGCACGAGTTATCTTCAAAACTCGATTTGAATGCCGCTTAATTGGTTTCCAAGAATACGAAAACGCTCGCTTGCGTCCGAGTAAACTTAGGACGGCGTTCTGTAGAGTTCTATAGGCTAGCACATAAAGACAACGGTGCTGGTAACACTCAAACGATACGCCACTCTTCTGATACTGGCAAACGGCCCACATTCTTTTGGTTTTAAGTAACTGACCGACGGAAACTTTCTCACATTTAAAGCTGTTACGCAAGACTTTACCATGAATTCATCGCCACTTTTGCGGCACGCCTAACCTTGAGGCTGATCAGAAAGAACCGTGTGAGCAGCGGCAACTTTCTAGCGACTGCGTACAAAGCAACTGAGCAGTGACGCAGCCAGAGGGTAGCGCAGCGGACCCGTTTCCACCCATCCGATTTTTTTTTCTTTGGCTTGACATACAAAGCGCATAATGACGATTTGCGTGGCTGACCACCATTTCAGATCAGAGTGGTCTGTCCTCCCCCCCCCCCCTCCCCATTCCACCTCCCAGAAAAATGATTTCTGCATATGCCCCAGCAACTGAATCAGTTGTGCGAGCTCCAGCGCAGTTTGGAGATTTTATTCCCGGACAGGCCAAGTTCTATTACCTGTGGAATCGCATGCTTTTAGAAAAGACCGAAAACGCGAGGAGCAACAGCTGGGTAAAACAAGGAGCAGTCACTGCGCTTCCCGAGAAGCATGCCGCATTTTGCGGTTTGCGTGCGCATAGCAAGAGCAAAGTTACTTTCACGGCGAAGTAAGCGCGACTCGGCGGGCGCGCTTTAGCAGACGACGCAACGAAGGTCCCACCCACAACCCAAAGTATTTATAAACGTCGCAACTGCCAGTGTGCACCACTTCTGCAAGCTGACCACGGAGACAGTGCATGCAGTGTCAAAGCGCTGTTGTGTTATCAAACAAACTGAGCGCGCCCTTGTGCTTTCTTCTAATGTTCCCCACTATTTCCCGTTTGTTTTTTTTCCCTTGCTGGACGCGTCCGTTGGGATGTTTTTCTTTCGTTTTTTTTTATTTCTTACAATTTCTTCTTTTTATTTTCCATATCTGTGTGGTAGGGTGTCTTTACAACTACAAGTACACCCGCCCGTTAAAAACGGAACAGCAGCAAATCATCATCATCACCTAGAGTAATTGTATACGGTGTCTGTAGTGACCACATATACAGTTACTCTACGCTGACCAGCAAATATATGGCTGGCAGTGTGGGCGATACGACAGCAAGGAACATTAAGCGAAAAGTCAGAGGATTTATTGGACGACAGGGATGAAAAAGAAGCCGGCTCTCAGTAACTACCAAAAGGGCAAGAAGGAAATAAGGCGGGAGAAGTTTTATGATAATTCAAGGGGAAGGCAGGTAAAAACTATTTTTCCTTTGGAAAGGATGTGGGCAATGAGACGGATGATGAGAGGTGCGCTTTACTGATCGAAGCGAGGTCGGGTTGCCTCAAAACGCGTAGTCATAAAGCGGGATCCGATAAAGAGGAAGAACAATGCACCTACATACTGTGGGGGAGCTAAGCAAACAATGGAACTTGTTCCGATTTAATGCGGCGATATGCACCCAGGTATACGTGCAGGGGCGGACCAAGCCACACATTTTAAGGGGGGGGGGGGGTCGCTTAAAGTAACACAGGAGGGCGGGGGGCGTGTTATTACTTTTTTTTTACTAGCACAAAAACTATCATTGCATAAATAATATGTGCTCAAAGGCATTCCACTCATTTGTCCTAATTGGTGATATAAGTTGGACGGCAAGCACTAAAGGAAGGAGGTACTGACAGGCTTTAGGGGGGGAAAGAGATTGCCCCTACATAGACGATGGCTATATAGCTCTACATAGACGATGGCTATAAAAGTTGTGAATGTCATCTTGTGTACTTCAATAGCCCACGTGTACTTAGTGCCACAGTTTCTGCACTCAGAGAATTAAAACAATGTGAGTAATCAAATTATTAATGCTTAAGGATAAAGTATGCATTTCAAAAATTCTGCAGCAGCCTGATAATATCCTTATTTTATTTAATGTAGTAACACAGCATGTATTCTGTCGTAAAACAGCAGCAGGAATGGACCAATTTGAGACCACCTGGGATAACTTTATAAGGCAAGGAACAATTAGATGTTTTATGTCTGCTTTTTAATGGTTCCAAGGCCACCGTAATGAGTGCGCGGAAGGAAACCAATAGCAGAGCCTGTATGCTGCAGTTTAATTGTAATTCAGCTCAAAATTAAGGTTACGCCTCATCAATATCGACAGATTGTTTTAAAGATTAGCTGTTAGCTGTATTTTCTATCACACTGACATTTTACACACACACACACACACACACACACACACACACACACACACACACACACACACAGAGAGAGAGAGAGAGAGAGAGAGAGAAGAGAGAGAGATAAAAAGTTGGGCGACAAGCAAGATAACGGCAACTTTCCTCAAAGTTGTTTTCATCTAGTGTGCAGGATATTCAACGATACTTTTTTTTTGCATAATACTGAGGGAAGACTAGTTCCGAATGCAAAACAAACAAGCAGAAGCTCAAAGCTGGACTGCGCGAACGCGCAAATGTATGCGTGTGCGCACTGGCTTACACACGCACACACACACAAATAACTATAAAGGGTGTCCCGCATAACTTGAGCCAAGAATTTGAAAGTGAAAGACACTTCAGTGCCGAATTCAACCAAACGCGTACCACTCGCACTAGCATGTAACTACTCAGGCTATCTTTATTTCTCCCAATACTCATTATTAATAATAAATAATTACCTATTTTTATTTATGAGCTGGGAACCTAAAATATGAACACTTAGATGTAGAGAAATTTCAGAAATCACCAACTAAATTGTTTCCTGTACGATACGTCTAGCACTGTTATTTTTTTTTTTCCGGGTTGTCGCGGTCTGCCACACGGCTCCTTTTCACCTTTCGCGGGCTTTCTTGACAACGTGGAAAAAACTAACGGCGCGAGACGTATCATACAGGAAACAATTTAGTCGGTTTCTGAAAGTGCCCTACATCTAAGTTCATACTTTTTTTGGTTTCCAGCCCATAATAAAAAATGGTAATTAATAAATTACTTAGTATGGGGAGAAAAAATTAGCCCGAGTACCTACTGGCTAGTGCGAGTAGTATGCGTTTGGTTCAATTCGCCTCCTAAGTGCCTTTCATTTTCAAATTCTTAGCTCAATTTGTGCTGAAGTAAATTTTAATGTGCACGGCCTTGAATGTTATGGTAATTACCACGCTTTCTGACGGCTCACGTAATTGACGAACGTAAAGAAATTCAAGAAGCTTTAAAAAGAGTGATGGGAGAGACATTTTCGTATTTTATATGGCCAAAGTAAACAATACAAGATACAGTTGGCTGGTAGCACAAGTACGTGCAACCTCTTGACCCTCCATCGTCCTTCCCGGCAAACGAAGACACTCGCCGCACCAAACACACGCCAGATGCGCATAACGACTACGCTCATAGCCGTATGTGGCCTAGAATGCGTTAAAGTAGGCAAACTTACCATTATTGGCCTGAAGAAATTCCGTAACGACAACTGCGAAAGCAAATAAAGACAGGAGTAGACGACCGATGAAGGATCCGAAGGGCATGTCAGAGGTTAAGAAACGAAGGAGCCAAAAGCGGTGAGGTGGACTTCAAACGCTTCGGACAAGCACTGCAGCGCATGTATCGTCATAATAGTTCCAATGCGGCGATGAGCCGCATTTATAAGCGGCAAACTGGTGGCAGGGTATGCTGCGAGCTGCGCTGTGAGAAAATCGGCAGACGATGTCGTGCACCCACAGGGTGCACCGGCGAAGGAGCCCCCTTGCGACTAGGAACAGCATTGGGCCACTACACACGGGAACGTTCGCATTGGCGCTAGCTGTGTAAATAAAATGGTTGAATACTTAATTCACGTGAGCAAAAATTTTAAATCAGTAGCATGTCAAAATAAAAAACTGTGTCAGAAAACAGGTTTCATTGTAAACTGAACATAATCTTCAAAGTGATTGTGGATTTCACAACTTTCTGTGGCAACACAGCTATAGTGGCTAGAAACGCTTTCCTTGTGTCGTGAACGAGACAGCGAGACTGAAACGTTTTACAATACAGCCTCTAGAGAGCGCAGCCGCTCGCTGGCGCGCTTTGTTCGCGCGCGTCATTCAGCACCTCGACGGATTGCTCGCATTGAAACTTATTGTGGTTGGGGTATAATCACGTTGTGTTCGCCCACATGGCGCTGATAAATTTTAAAGGAGGAAAAAAGAGGTCTGAAGACTATGCGGGCAGGTTAGCGCCTTCAGGACGCCACATACTGGCCGCATATAGAATAGCGTGCACAGAACTTAGATTTCGAATATTCATGTTTCCAGCTGCACTTCAGTAACATTATTTTTCACACAATCATGTTTGATTACAACAATAAGAATACTCACAGACCATTATAATGTTTACATTATGAAGTTTAAAAAATCGAGAAACAGCGAAAAAGACGGAAGGACAGACATTTTAGCGCAGACTGTGAGTAAACAGTGAAAGGAAAAGGACCGCGCATATCTATCAAAAGAAAACAATGGTTAATTAAAAGTGATTGTCAAGAAAAAGTGAAATGATGTTTATGTAGACATAGGAACCTCTCTTTATGTTTTGCGCCTACTCTTGATATTGTGCTGGCACCGCAAAAGCTCTGAATAGGGATATACCTTTTCTTCGCATGGCTTGCTTTGCGTAACGTCTCTGTTTTTACGACGCATGGTGCCTTGGAGCGGTTACAAATATTTTCAGTTGCACGCGAGCATAATGCTAACTTCTTAAGACGCAGCTCGATACATGTTCTACAGGAAACCGGTGGCCCTGACCTCTCCCTTCCTTTAATTTTCGTTAGCAATGAATATGTAAGCCCATGATTCTTTTCCTATTTTTTTTTCAACCCTACGCATTTAGTTTTTATTCATATGAGCTCACTCAGCGGGCTGCTCATAAAGAACCTTGTCACCGTGTACGCAGCAGGCATACAATGAGATTGTCGCAGCGGCCTATGTGCTCGTCTGCTGACCCGAAGGACGCGGGTTCGATCCAGGGGCGGCGCCAGAATTATTTTACCGGGTGGGGGGGGGGGGAACCCACGATAAGTGAGTATCTTCAGGGGGAGGGAAGGAAGGCGGGGAACTTAGTCACTGTGTTATGACTCTGTTCTCTTTTGGGGGGGCAACGGGAGAAGGGCGGGGCAGGCTAAAATTGGAGGGAGAAGCCCCAGCCCCCCCCCCCCCCTCCCCGTTCTCACCCCTGGCGCCGCACTTTGATCCAGACAGTCCACGGCGGCCACATTTCGATAGAGGTGAACTGTCACAGGCCCGTGTGATGTGTACTGTCGGTGCACGTTAAAAAACACCATATATTCAATAATTTTCGTTAGATAAAATTTCGTGGACCTCACACATGGCGGGAATTAAGTTCATTCGACGCTATACATAGTGTTACGAGATGCATATATATACCTTTGATTTATTCGAGTAGTTTATTTAATCGAGGGCTCTCGAGAGACGTGGAGTTCACTGGCTCATAAAGGCTAGCGCACGATTTTATCTCCCAATGCTACCCATGGTAAAGCACATACGCAAATTTCATTCGATTAACTGCATGGCCGGTACTTCCAAAGCATGCAACGCCTAAGTATAGAGTCATATTAGTATATGTGTAATGCTTATTGCATTGTTATAAAAGTGGCAAGCCAACACCGCAACTATATTGTCCGTACGTACCTCACTACTAAAATCATTTTTCGCTTAATCTTCAACCATCGTCGGGGCTTTGTGATAGGTTACTCTGGATGTGTACCTAATTTTCATTCTTTTAATTTATTGAAATCTTCCGAGAAACAGGCATCTAATGCCATTCTTCAAACGTGCGTGCGGCGCACATATCCAACATTCTTTGGTATGCACGCGGTATGCAGGTATGGGCCGCACGTGACTTAGGCAAAGGATTTTACGACGCGCGGGCGAGAATATCACGTTATACATTTCGTGACCTGCCACTCGAGTTTGTCATACACTCACGAACTCAGTTGCTAACTTTGGTTTATACCAGGCTAAGCAGAAGACAGCTACAGCACTGAGGCGTACGTAAGTGGTTAGATGGTCGATAGATAGAAGCACTCAAAGCCCATTTGTTCGCAATTTGAGCACTTCAAAGAAATACTGCACATTTAAACCTACATTGTGAGGAAAATGTCATGTCAAGACAGCTAAAGTTACGCGCACAACGAAAAATACGTCGGTTTGCCAGCGCCCAGCTGCATATGCGGTTCTGTAGAAGACTTCTCACATGGTCCGCAAAAATAGAATATTCACTGTCTACCTCATTGATCGGTCTCTGATATAACCGGGAGCATTTAAATCACCTGCTAAAGTAAATGTATTGGGTGCCACTTCTGGGGCCATGACGCTGTTGCGCTGTTACGCCAGCTGCACCCCGACGTCAACCACCGCTATCGCTTGCCACTCGCCAGCAACAAACAGCGCCGCCACATGGCGCATAGAATCCGGTTTCTTCACCGCCGATGGAGAAAGCGCGTTTACGACACTAAAGAATCTTTTAGCCAAAACTACGTGGGCGAAGCTTCTGCACATGTGTTGCTACACCAAGTAGTCCGTTTGTGTGTGATTTCGGTTTCGGTTTCGCACGCGCTTGCAACGTATACGTTTTCAAACCGCGTAGCAATGAATAAATGCTAAATTTTTTTACATAAAATCAAGAAAATGTACACTTTTTTAAAAAGAAAAGAACACGAAGCTTTATTGAAGAGTTCAGATTTATTTCAGAAAACAAAGGCACGTCCGATCAGGAACTGGGAGAATGCAAAAAGAACACAAAGGCACGAAAACATTTCCTAATTTTCAATGCATAATGGACCGGCATTGTTGTTTACCTTCTTTTGGAGACTACATAACTTTTTGGAGGCACTTACGTTGTTTTTTTTTTTTTTATGGAACGCAAATGCATCGACAGGTAGCATAAATGTTGGCCACGACCAGTCATGAGCGGGCGTCTGATGTTCATAAATACAAGTAGGTGAAACGCAGCCTTTACTCGACCTAGAATGCTGTTTTCGCACAGTCAACAGCACAATATATAAGAACGCGTCTGTTGTCCAGGCGAAGCTTTGCACTAGTGGTTTTATTCTCATAAACTGCTGTCGATACAAACCGCAGTGAACCACTCCCTCCGTAGACGCTGACGGGTACAGTGCTGTAGTACGCGATCTCCAGCGTGATCGTATCAGGCAGCCGAAATACAGACCACGTATGAAACGCAATTTAGGAAAAATTTATTTCCTTTTACGTACAGTTTTCAATCGCAATTTCGCTTTGAAGCTGCTGGTCTTGCTGAAGACTGGCCGGTCACCGGTGTCACCTTCAAGGCGGCTATCACGATGAGAGTCCCACTTTCGCTGATGGTATCACTAGCACACAAAATCTCGGTGATGGCATGTGCGGGAAAAAATATTGCACGACACACCATTTTCTTAGTCTCTACCTGCTCGTGAATATACTGTAGCTACATTCGACCGTAGACGTCCCCCTTAAGTTACTTCGCCGTACGTACAACAGTTTGATGGAGGTGCTGGGGTAACTTAAGGGGGTTTTTAATCTGATTTTAATCAATATACTGGAAGAAATGTACAACGGGTCCACAGCCATCATAGTCTTCCTCAAAGAAAGTGACAGAATCTGTAAAAAGAAGGGTCTAAGGGAAAGAGACACGAGCTCTCCAAAGCTATTCACTGCATGTTTACAGGAGGTCTTTCAGAATCTGTAGATTAGGTAGAGTTCGGGTAAGAGTTAATGGAGAGTATCGCTTAGTAACCTGCAATTCACTGAATGCATTGCATTATTATGAGAAAGTCAGCTTGCGCTCAGTCATGAAACAAAAGTGTGTTAAAATAAATGAACAAAATTTTATTCGTGCAACTAAGAAAAGGTAATATCGATTGTGGTGTCGCTTGCAGTCACGCTTGCTGATGGGCACCTCTCCAAGTCCAACCACGATGTCTCCAACCACGGTCCAGCTGGCCCGGTGTTCTCCGGCCCTACGGAGGAAGGAAAGAACTTGAATGACCCCAAGTGGAGACCACGTACCATTCTGCTCATAGCCTAACCGATTTAATTAGCTGGGGCTGTTGCGTAGATTACTGTTACATTGTGCCACCCGATGCGCCCAATGTATTTTCGCTTTGGCACTCTTTGAAATCTACTTAAGATGTTTTTAAACGTTTTCTGGGTCAAACGCCCGTGTTGAGTGCCATTGTAGTACAGAGAGGACGCCACACTTTTTATTGCCTCAAAATTTGGTGTCTGAACCTCTTTAAGGAGGCATCGAAATAAACAACAATGTAACAATGTCTAATATAACATATAGATATGCTGTGCTGGATTTCTTTACATCAAAATTTCTATATAAGCACGAGAAACTTAATGCATCCCATTATCATTCCTCTGCATAAGTTAGTTTTCATTTGTTCAGCTGCGAAAAGCATTACTACCTGATTACTAATTTATGAATGTTATTTATTGTACTACTGCAATTAGGTTCTGAATCAAAGAGCACACTTTACGGCTCTTCTGCAAAAATTCACCCTTCGTGGCCAGAAATAAATGGGAACAACTTCTACTTTCTTTTGATGGGGAACGAAGTTTCAAGGGTTAGTGGTTAATAAAAAGGCTGCACATATGAAAAGTGCAAACTACCAAGGGAGGGAGAGAGTTTAATTTAAGAAGGCATCGAGGTTGTTCTAAGCTAGTACACCCTGTGTACAGCTA